CGTCTAAATGTCTTTGGTCCTCTGTCATGACCCATGGAGGATTACAGAGACGAAATACCTTGTGAATGAAGAATTGTTATCAATTACAGTCAAGCCTGTGTAAAAACGGCCACCCAATGTCAAGGAGAAAAGGGGCCGTATAACCCAGGTGGCCGTCTTAGGCAGGATCTGATCAAAATGAAGAAAGCAAATCATTCTCTTCTGAGGTCCAAACCTGAGCTGATCTAAATCTAAGGTTTAGGACTGCCTTAAGGCTAATTCAAAAGGGGTTTTGTTTTCTTTTGAAAATGAAGGATGGGTGGTGTAAGAAGGGTTGGGGTTTTTTTCCATTTTTCGTTGTTGGTTTGTTTTTTGGATAGCTTTCTTTTTGTTGCTGATTTTGTGCAAGGGTAAAATATTCGAAATATTATATAAGTAAGAAGATGAAGACTGAGTGCCATATGGTAAAACAAGCACACGGGTCGCCACCACTTGGAGAACAAGCGACGCTTCTGTCTCAAGTTCATGTCAACGTCCATTGTTTCTTTGTTACAAATTAGGTAAACAAAACAGTGACTAGTTACTTCACATACGATATGAGCATGAGTTGTGGGAGGGGTTTATAGATTATGACGGATCACGCTTCCCTCCCCAATAGTTGAAAATTTAGTTAAGCCTACCCATTGGTCAACTTTGATGAACATTCATTGGAGGGACTAGCAATAACGACAGGTGAATGAATTGTGACAGCCCGTCCAACCGCGTGAGGGGCCAATTCAATTTTTTTTACAAAGAGTGACCTCACCTGGCCGCCTAGGGCAGGTAAATTTGATCGTAGGTTGATAAAATTGACAAAAATAAAGTGGCCGTGGCCTCGTTGGACAGGTGACCGTTTTACACAGTTAAATTGTATCGAAAAAAAATGCAAGGGAAGGAAGGGAAAATGGTCGTTTAAAGGGGGCCGTATTATTCAGGTGACCGCCATGGCAGGTTAGACTTTTGCCTTGAAAGGAATATAACACTGATTCTAATCAGTAGTTGCTCGCAACTCCAGTATTAGACAACTCATTGTTTAATGAGCAATAGAGGTAAAATCGCCCACTTTACTTATGTCTCCCCATTTAGCGAGATAGTGCAAAGGTACTATTATTAGCTTGAGCATGTGTTACAGTTAAGAATTAAAACACCCACTCTAATTTGAAAAAAATGACCAGACAAGACGAAACAAATCTAAAAGTTTTCATGTACCAAAGGTGGATTTTATACATGTTTTTAGAAAAGGTCTTTTTTTTCGTTGAAAGTTCATCTAGGTCGTGATTTGAAAATTGATTCGGTCCAATGGCAGAATTATAACACTCCATTTGGTTCTGGACTTTGAGTTAAGTGACAAGGCAACTAATCAGGATAACCAGAGGTATTATAGACCTAAGATTAACCTCCCATGATTGAGAGATGAAGATAGTAAGGTGTGCAATAAAAAAAGAAAACGAAAACATGTTAAGTTTGGCTCCAAAAACTAAACCAAAAAAAACACCAAAAAAGCAATAAAACAAAGAGAACTTCACAAGAATTCGTAAACCACAAAAAGGCGCCTTTTGTCTGTGTGTTTGTTAGGGGTGCAAGGTGGAAGAGAGAGGGGTGAGGTGGTGGTTGGGGGAGTTGATGGCGGGTGGCGGGGGAGGCTGTGCGTAAACGTCACGAGATTATAACAATCGGTACGTGTTAAGGGATTATGACGCAAGCAGTCCAGACAAAATAAATATGTCATTTCAAGCGTTTCAGACACAAAGGACAAAGAGGACCAGTGCCGTACCGGAGATGACTATTGGCTGTACCCA